CATGATGATTTTCCCAAATGGGTATATAATTATAAAAATCAATTAGGTTTGGGATAAAAAATATAAAAAGTATCTGAGTAACAGAGCATGTTTTACTTTCAAAATATATTAGATGTGTAAGTCCTTGGAAACATTTTAATTACTCACATCTGGAAACAATGCTAGCAGTTCTTCCTGATAGCTGTCCCTCAAAACCAATTCCTTATTTCAGTGGAAATTATCTGGCCTTGGCTTGGGAAATCCCAGGCAATTTGCTCCCATGCCAGAAAGGATGTCTTTTAGGGCAGAGTCACCATGGTAAAAAATACTTAAAATCATTTCGTAAGAACAGTGGAAGGTAAGAGGGCCAGTCAACTGGGAATGGAAGCCTAAGATAAGACATAATAAAAACTTAACACTAACAGGAGCTCTGGTGACATATTTCCTAAGGCATTTGACTGCTAACCAGAAGACTGGCATTTCAAACCCACCAGCCACTCCTTGGAAAGAAGATTGAGCAGTCTACTAGCTTGTTTTAAATATTTGAAGGGTCATTTTATAAAAGAAAGAGAAGATCTTGACTATTTAATATCAAAGAGAGTTATAAGCAGTAAGGAAAGAGTCAAGGATTCAGATTTCTGTTCAATTTACAAAGAACTGTCTAACATTTGGAGCAGTAGTTCAGTGAAATAGCTACCTTTTTAGAATTCGTACTGAGGCTGCTTAGATAAGTATGAAGATTATGCAGTGCTGCTCACAATGTGATTGATCCACAGTCTGCTGTTGGTCTGCACTGTCTTTGATACTAGTCCTCAAGAAGAGAAGAAGCTGGGCCAGAATGTTGATCTATTCCCTGCTTCCTTCATCAAGAAAGTCATGCTGTGGAGGGAAAAAAATGTCAGCTGAACTAAACAATTAATGACATTCTTGAGTATTTTGATTATCACTGCAATGGAAAAAAATATTCATCAAGTAGTAAATGAGACTGAGACATTTTACAGTGATCTAAAGTATTACAACAAAATATGTATAAATGGGAAGTCCTTTTGAATACAAGGATGTGTATTCCCCTGACTCACAATATGTTTGAAAGCCACCAATCATAGTAGTAAAAGATACCCCTGTAAAATGGGTCACTGCAACTCCCTGAAACTTACTGCATGAAATCTATTGATTGGATTACACTAGACAGAGCCTCTAAATTGAATAAATAATACTTATTGCATATATTCATGTGCTACTATTTAAAAACAAAGATCCTGTTATGATTATAAAATAAGAATTTATTTTAATTTGCTACTGAAGTAGAAAGGAGCTCTGGTGGCATAGTGCCTAAGTTGCTCTTCATCAATATCAATGAGATGGATTACACAGTGGCTGCCATAATTGCTCAGGTATAGCAAGGATTGTGAGGTTGGCGCAAGACCAGGTGGTGTTTTTTCATAAGGTCTTGATGAGTTGGAGCTGACTCCACGTCACATAACAACGACAACAACTTCATTAATATGCATTTTCACAAACAATATATGCTAAAAGTACCATTTCTGTTATGTGGAGACCCAAAACCCTTTTTTTGTAGTGAGTGTCTTCACACTCATGCAGGGCCTTTACTTACAGATGTGCAGCTTGTGCATTGCACAAAGCCCAGAGCACATAAGCGAGTGGGGCTGAACTCCAGCCCCTGTGTGCTTACCCAGGAATGAATTCTGGCAGCAAAACTTGATCCAGCCTCAAGAGACCAAAACTCCTGCTTTGCTCAGAGCAGACATGTTTCCCGGGATATGGAACTTTCAGTGCTACAATCAGCATAGTGCTAAAAAAGCAGAAAGGTTGTTCACCCTAAACAGGAAACAGACATACTATATGTGTAAGCTTTAGTCTTGCAATCCCTCCTATAGAACTATAGACCTCAAAAAGCTCAAATGGAGCAGCCATTTTCACATCACTTCTTTTCTCCTTATGTTTTCAAGGTAAAAGAACCATGTAATCAAGCCAACATCCTGACCAAGCCTGATCCAAGAAACTTCTGGACTAGTGACGAATCAGGTATTACTGGGAAAATACACTCTGGCTCTGTGACACATAGGATGCATTCAGTTCTAGAGGGGATGAAAAAAAAAAAAAAGACAAAGTTTGGGGAATAATTCTGCTTGTTTATTTCTTTACTCCTACTTCTATTCTTGAATCCATGTAAAAATGACGTTGGGGTTGTCTGACCTTCTCTAACTTTATGAGGCATGGGAGAGAATCCCTATCAACATCAGCCCAAGGTTGATTCCTATGAGCTGGAGATTAGACATGCCTCCTCTCTCTAACATTTTACCAATTCTGACACCAGCCATCCATCTCACAGCACTCTCTACTTCTCTGCTGGGTTCAATAATTTGTTGCAGAGGCCACACAGAACTCATGGGCCATACTATGATTATTTATTAGGGAAGTAAGAGGTTACAGGTCAGGATCAGGAATGACTCAGGATACAGTTCTTCAGTCAGGACAGCTCCTTCACTGTGCCCCCAGGTAGGTCTCTCGCTCAGTCCCTAGGCCCCTCAGGTTGGCCTCTGGTCTGCTCATGCAAGTGTTATAAAGCTACTTAGGTGGCCAGTAAGTGCCCAGAGACACTCCACTCTGCCAGGAAACCTCCTGCCCAAAGGCACTCAGCTTTCTTGCTCCATGGGTTGGCAAGCCAACTGTAATCGCCTTGGACCATGGGCCAGAGAGCCCACTACATCATCTCACACTGATCTCCTGGTTTTACCACCACTGTCTCTCTGCCACTGCTTTCACCATCTTACAACATCTCCAGTGTTACAGCTCTCTCCCGGTCTCCTGGGTCTAGGAGGTTATTGGACAGGGACCCTGCATCCAAAGGATGTGCTCCACTGCCAGCTCTTCTTCTTGGTAGTGAGGCCCCCCTTGTCTACCTCTGGGATAGCCCATTTTAAGCCTTGCAGGATAACAAAACTGACCACTCCCCTCATCAAGGTTCCATACATCTTATTTGCATGGTCCCACCACCCACAAGGGTACCACACACCTTATTTTCATTATTAGCAAGGTATCCACTCCCCTTGCTGGACCACCTCATTTTGCATAGTCCCATCTAGTCATTTGGTGGGAGTTATAAGACCATGGTGAGAGAAGCATATAAAAGTGATCCATCGCATGACAGTACACTGCACAGTCAATAAAGCTACACTGGATAGATACTCAAATATTATATCTTCTTTTTCAGTATTTAAACCATATACACCATTGAGTGCACCTTTATTGACTGTAAAGTGTGTTCATGTGTTGGGGATAAAAGGAGAATGAGTCCATTTCCAAGAACAGAAGAGTATAATAAGACAGACAAGTACAGTAGTCCAATTTTTTTCTTCTATAGGAAAGAGGGGCTTAAAAGACCTATGGTGAATTGTACTTAAGCATATTTATGAGAAGGTAGGTATGATTTGTATTATGGGATCCAGGAGTATAAATCTAATCAGAACCAGGAGAGTACTGTGTTCTGAAATCGCAAATACACTTTATGTTTTACAATTAAAAATTACACTCAAAGAAGGGCAGATCATACTCACAGGAGATGAAGACGTGTTTTCACTTTTTTTTTTTTAATGAACCTCTATCAGCCATGATATCTAATTACAAAAGTAAAGATACTATAAATGAAAATGAGAGGTTATACAAAGAGCTAAAATAATTAAAAGAGTGATAATAGAGCTTTCACCTTTCCTAATTGAATAGGGTCTTGAGAACTAGTGATAATACCTAATATTTGTATCATGCCTCATGGTTTTACAAAGTGAGTTCACAAAAATGACCTAATTCAATGTTTGCAGCAACCCTGCGAAATAGGAGGGGCAGCCCATCTTCTCTGTATTGTCCCTGGTTTAGAGATGAGTTAACAAGTTGGAAGAGGTTGGGTGGCATATCCAGAAAATACCAGGGCTGGAAGTAAGATTAAGAGCCTGTGTACCCAGCTCTACACCATAATTCCTAGGAAGAAAATGCTCTCCTGTGAGGAGCACATGGGCTAGATCCATGCTTTAATCTTTTCTTCATAAAAGAGAGTCAGAGACTAGGCAGAGTAGCAGAAGCAGGACGGGTTACGGAGGGGAGTGATAATGCTCTGATGCTTTCTTTGTCAAAGACCAGGCTTGTGGGCTAAGCTTATTATCAATTTCATCCATCAAAAAATTATTCTGTCTTGTTTTATGTCTTTGGATGAAATATGAAAGCCACTAAGAGAATTAGCCTCTTTGTGCCATTATTTTATCCCATTAGTAGTGCAACACAAAATAAATAAGCCATCCACTAGCTAATACTGCTATTAAGACCTACAATACATGTGTTTTGAAGAAGTGATGTAGAATGAGACATTATAATTGAAGGAATAAATGATTCTTGATGTTGTGCCAAGAGTTGGAATGGGATAAAGGAAAGAAATCAGGACAGAACCAGCTCAGAGAATGATGCTGAGTCACTTGTAGGAGTTGAGGAAATTATATTATCAGATAAATGGGTGAAGAACATACTTTAAAAAAAAAAGTTGTCATTGAGTCTTCTCCAACTCATGGTGACCTCATGTGTATCAGAGTATGCCCCATAGGCACAAATATATTTAATAAATTATAATAAGTTTAAATCCTTGAGGGGTACAGCATCACATGGATTCTGTGTCCAAAGGCCTTGGCAAGAAGATTGGTTCAGAATTTGGCATAAATTATGCCACCGTTTCCATGGGCATGAGTTACCTTTCCCCAGATGACTCTGGGTTTGTTAGGTTTGCCACCAGGAGTCACTGTATTATTCCTTGTTTTGTACACACAAGCACATCTTTTGCTGAAATAGAATTCAGTTTCATGTTGGGCACAAACACCTTCCATTTTAAGAAAAACAGTGTGTTTCCTCTGGCTCTGGAGACCACAGCCAACAGCAGTGGACTTGGACCACAGCCTTCCAGACATATCTGCCACTTTAAAAGTCTTGTTCCCAGAAGGCCTCCACAGGTTCCATGATGGTAAAAAGAGGAAAACCTCTATAGGATTTTCAGTGGTTGGTTTTTCAGAAGTAGATTGGCAGACAGTTTTTCAAAACAGCTCTGAGTGGATTTGAACCTCTTCAGATTAGCAGCTAGTGCATGACACATTTGCAGAGGCATCACAGAACACGTAGAGAAACAGTAATAAGAATACTTCAGTTCTATTCATTTATTAAACCCTTTTATTATTTTTGTGTCACCAATGGGGTTACAAAGTTAGAGTGCCCCTTCTGTAGCAGCTCATCTGTTGAAGATCCTGCTCATTGACCAACTCCTAGATGAGGGCCTGCGTAACAGGAAATATTTTTCCCTTAGTAATTCTACCAATAACTGAGATATGGGTATTAACATCTCCATGTATGTGTTGGTGGAGTTGTCTCAAATCTTCTAATTCTGTCTTTTTCATATATTTGGAAGCTCTGTTATTAGACATTATACCTTTATAAGTTCCTGATGAATTACCCTTTTACTATCATGAAATATCCCTCTTTCTCTCTGATGAAAGTCATTGTTTAAAGACTTTTTTCCCCCATATAATAACATAGCAAATTCAATCTCTTAAGCCTGTCCCTCACATTTGCTCTTCAATCTGTATCTTATCATTTAACTCTCTCTCTTATAGACATAGATAGATTTTCCTTCTTTTTGGGATGTTTAGGCCATTTAGACTTAATGCAATTATTGACCAAGTTAGATTTAAATCTACCATCTTGTTGTTTTCTGTGTGTCCCTTCTCTTCTTTGTTTGCCCTTTCTGACTTCTTTGGGATTGTTTAAATGTCTTTTTATAAATCAATATTAATTTATAAATTGACTTTTTAATTAAACGTCTTTGTATTTTATTTTTAGTGGTGGTGTTAGAGATTATAATAGATAAATTTAAATTTCCACAGACCATTGTAGAAATCTTAGATCTGCACAGGTGCATTTGTGTTACATCTCCCTTTCTTTACATTATGGTTTTCATATATATATATATATATATATATATAATATATTTATAATATATAATATATTTATATATGTAATACATCCTACTATACAATGTATTTTAAATAAAATATAAGAAAAACATTCTTTATATTTACCCAGATATTTGTTATTTGTAGCTCTTCATTTCTTCCTAATAATCCAGGTCTCTTTCTGGTATCATTTCCCTTCTGCCTGAAAAATTTCCTTTAGCATATCATATAATACACATCTGGCAATAAAATATTTTAGTTTTATTTTATAATCTGTCTTTATGAATGAAAAGATCTTTATTTCATTTTTAAAGGATACTTTTGCTGGATATGAAAGTCTGGGTAGACAATTTGTTTTTTTTCTTTCACTTTAAAAACGTTCCATAGTTTTCTGGCCTCTGTAGTGTCTGATGAGAAGTCAGTGATTGCTGTTCAAATCATTGCTTTTGTAATGTGGTGACTTTCACTGCCTCTTTGGGTTTTTGTTCTGTTCTAATCTTTTTCTTTTTTTTTTCCTTCAGTTTGGCTGTGACATATCTAAAGTACGATCTATCTTCTTTAGGATTTAGGTCCTTTAGGTTTGTTGTTCTTATGTGCCCTACAGTTGGACCTGACTCCTAGCGACCCCTCCTTGGCTTTCCGAGGCAGTATCACTAGAGAAGCAGATTGTCCAACCTTCTTCCAAGGAGTGGCTGGTGGGTTTGAACCGCCAGCCTTCTGGTTAGCAGTCAAGTGCCTTAGGCTCACGTTACCAGAGCTCTCCCTTTAGGTTTGTTGTTGTTATGTGCCGTCAAGTCAAACCCGACTCATAGCGACCCCTCCTTGGCTTTCCGAGGCAGTATCACTACGGAAGTAGGATTGCCCAACCTTCCTTCCGCGGAGTGGCTGGTGGGTTTGAACCGCCAGCCCTCTGGTTAGCAGGCAAGTGTCTTAGCCACTATGCTACCAGAGCTCTCCCTTTAGGTTTAGGAAGTTAAAAATTCTAGTCTGCCAAGTAGTTTTCTTAGAACCTGCCTCTAAGTCATGTGACTCTTTCCCTGCGGT